GGTGCTGGGGGATTGAACCATGGTCCCTGTGCTTTGCTTAGCTTAGCTTGTTCTAAGTAGGTGCTTTAGACCACTGAGCCATCTCACCAGCCCCCCCCCCTTCATTTTTAAGATAGAGTCTTGCTAAGTTTCAGGGGCTCGCCTCAAACTTGTGATCTTCCTGCTAGCTGGGATTAGAGGTATTGTGCCCTGGTGCCTGGAACATCCATTCTTTAATGAAATCCAAAGCTATATTTATTACACAGAACTTCCCTTGAAAATTCCTCAACTGGGGCTGGGGAGATGGCTCAGTGCAATAAGCACTTGCCTGGCAAGCAAAAAGGCCTGAGTTCAATCCCTGGTTCCGCAAAAAATAAATAAATAAATAAAAATAAAATTGCTAAAAAAAAAAAAGAAAATTCCTCATGTATACATTCAGTAGCCAACTGTATATCACCACATAGACATCCTGAAATTTAAATTTTCAACAAGTCCAGAATCAAATTCTTTTAGACATTAAGATTGACACTGGATAATTCAACAATAGACAATGCTTATAAACATAATTTTTATGTGGCTAAGGATAATTACAACCCAACAAGAAAGAATCTGGGATGATATTAGGATTATTTGAGAACTAATCTGGTTAGTGTCTCTCTTTTTTTCATATCAGGAATCAAACTCAGGACCTGGCACTTGCCAAGCAGGCACTGTGCCGCTGAGCTACATCCCTGCCCCCCTGGTTAGGCTCTTATCTCTCTTTCTTTTTTTTTTTTGGTGGAATGGGGGATTGAACTCAGGCCCTTGTGCTTGCCAAGGAAATGCTTATTCCACTGAACCATCTCCCCAGCTTCTCTTATAATATAAATCAAAACAAGTTTCACTAATGAAAAATAAATTTCAGTAATAAAAATTCAAAGTATAAGAAAGATTTTTGTTGTTGTTGTTATTTTGAGGAGGGTTTCACTATGCAATTCAAGCTGGTCTTGAACTCACTTTGTAGTCTGGGCTGGCCTCAAACTCACAGCAATCCTCCTGTCTCAGCCTCCTGTGTGTGCATCACCACGTCCGGCAAGAAAGAAGCATTTTTGTGGTGAACCTAAAACTCCTCTAAAAAAGTCTGTTTTGAAAAAGAGAAACATGAGTATATTTATCAAATCTCCAAAGAGGCAAGGGATCTTTTTTTTTTTTTTGCGGGAACCGGGGATTGAACTCAGGTCCATGGGCTTGCCAGGCATGTGCTTATTCAACTGAGCTATCTCCCCGGCCCCAGGGATCTTTAAATAACAATGGAAGATGTAAATAGAAAAGGGCTATTCACTGGGCAGGGTGGCACATGCCTATAATACCCGCACTGAGGAGGCTGAGGCAGGAGTATTACCATGACTTTAAGGTTAGCCTGGGCTCCATGGTGAGTTCGAGGCCAACTGAACTGCAAGGAAAGACTGTGTCAAAAAAAAAAAAAAGCCTGGGGGGGACATGTAAGAGGCAACAAGAGAGAAATTTAACTTCTGTGTCCAATAAATAAAAACATGTGGGGCCAGCCAAATAGCTCAGTGGATTAAAGTGCCTAAAAGCAGGTGCAGGGGCCAGGGGCTCGATCCCCTGGCCTGCCATGCCAGCCCCACCCTGGGGCAAGCTGAGACTGCAATTGAGACTGGGCATGGTGGCACAGTCCTATAACCCCAGCACATGGGAGGCTGTAAACAGGAGGATCACTACGAGTCCGATCTAGTAGTAAGACCCTGTACATCCTGTAGACCCTTCCCTAAAATACAAAAAATAAAATTTTACATATCTACCAATCAAATTAAAAGGCATATATATTAGGAATATATTTCAATAAACATAAAGAATTAATCTCGTGTGTGTGTGTGTGTGTGTGTGTGTGTGTGTGTGTGTGTAACCAGGGATTGAACCCAGGCCCTTGTGCTTGCCAAGCAAGCACTTATTTTACTGAGCTATCTCCCTGGCCCCAAGAATTAATCTCTTTAATGTATAAAAAGTTCATACAAATTGGTAAGAAAAATACTAATTATGAGTTAAGTGGATAAAAAACAAGAAAGAAAAAATAGCTAAGGGGCCAGGGAGATGGCTCAGTAGGATAAGCGCTTGCCTGGCAAGCGCAAGGACCTGAGTTCAATCCCCAGTTCCACCAAAAAAGAAAAAGAAAAAATAGCTAAAAGGAAAATCTGTTCAACCTCACTGAGAATCAACAAAAGCAGAGTTAAAACAAGAGCTAACATTAAAACCAGCATTTATATCTGCATTTCCCTCCTGGCGGGGCTGCTTTCCCACAACCCTTTCAGACTCAGCTTCCTCCCATCTACTATGCAGCAGAATTCTAAGACGCTAGTCTCTCCTAACATTCTTCCAGGTGATGGTGACCGGGGAAAGTCCCAGTCTGTCACATTGGACATCTCCAGCTTGCTGTCTGGCCCTGTTCTACTCTCACTTGCCACATATATCTTAGTTCCAGTTGTTTGCAGAACTCTTCCATATCTGGGTACTTCCACCATATCTGGTCCTCACAGTGGACCAACCTTCACTGTCTTGTTCCTTCTGGAGTCCTTCCCTCATACTGCTGGCCAACCTCCTTCGTACGTCCTTCATGTCCCTGTTGTATCCTTTCATTTTAGTGTCGTAGCACTGAGTACATGGCATTGTGATCACTCATATTATTAGTCTGTCTCCTTCATTGGTCTATGAACACCTTAGGGGACTACATCATATTCATCTATACAGCCCCAGCTCCACATCCAAGCCAGTACATATAAATGTATAATATATATGAACAGATGGATGGACAGATGGACAGATGGATGATGTATGAGCAGAGCCATGTGTGAGGGGAAGTGAGAGATGAGATGGAACAGGTGGGTGGGCACCATACCTCTCGAAGAGCATGCTGGGCTGCACAGTACCAAGCCCGACTCACGAGGGAGGCTTCTTTCTGATCTGACAGAGGCAGGAAGCTCAGGATATACGTGAGCATCTGAAGAAAAAAGACAGCACATTTGAGGCTGTTAGAGCTGGGTGGCCTTCCAAACTCAGTCCAACTGAGAGCACCATGAGTATATTGAGGGCCTTCTTATTTATCTTGGTCCCAAAGCTTCAGGATGTACTCAATTCTTCCTCCAGCCTGCAAGCATCTTTACTGTAAATAAATTTTTACTGAATCCCCATCTGGGTGTAGTTTTGTGCTCTTAAGAATCAAACTTTCTCAGCTGGGTGTAATGGTATACACTTGTAATCCCAGCCTTCAGGAGGCTGAGACAAGAGGATTGCCATGAGTTTGAGGCCAAGCTGGGCTACATAGAGTTCAAGACCTTCTTAGAAGTATAGGGGGACCCTATCTCAAAGGGGGGAAAAAGGCCAAGAATCAAACTTCCTGTTTGGTTTGGTAGAAAGTCCCTGGTGCACTGGAGCAAGATAAACCTAGTTCAACCCTCTACTTGGCCAACTGATCTAAGCCTGGTTTTCCTTATCTATAAAATGGCAATTGTAATGAAATGTAAACAGGCTGCTATGAAAAGCATCACAGCATAGTGTTTTGCATAGATCTAGGACACAACATGTCAGGTGCTCCTCTGATTCTATGATGTCCCTCTGCTTCCTCCTGTCCTCACAGGGCCAGCTTTGAGATTCTCTCTCTCTCTCTCTCTCTCTCTCTCTCTCTCTCTTTCTCTCTCTGGTGGAACTGGGGATTGAACTCAGGTCCTTGCGCTTGCCAGGGAAGCACTTATTCCACTGAGCCATCTCCCCGCCCCTCCCCTCCATCTTCTCCATTGCCAATTTTCCTTCTATGCTGGATGCTGTTAAAACACCATCCTAACAACATCTAGCTTGGGAAGCTCTAGTCCTCCCTCCACCTGTTCTATGAGGCTGGTGGTGCTGAGGTTGGAGGCACTGAAGTAGACTAAGAAAGAGGTCACTAGTGAGGCCAGGAATGATATTAACTAGTCTTCTTCTAGAATCTTCCCTGAGTCCTATGACACTATTTCCTAGGCCTTCTCATTTAGCACTTCCAACTGCCCTGTTTCTGGATTTTTCTGTGCCTCTTAAAGCTTAGACCTAGGTCTTTTGATCTTGTTTATAAAAATAAGTATAATCAATACTTCAAGAGCTTCATATTGTCCTGTTTGCCAAGTAGTAGTCCAGTATTGCCCATGGCCAGTGTTCACTGGGCTCTTTATTTAAACTGTCCAACCACCACTTTTTGGGGGTATGTAGTCCAGATCCTTGCACAAATGCTCTGCCACTAAGCCACAAGCTAGTTCTCAACCCACCCTCACTTTAACCTTAACCAAAATTCATACTTTGTCCCCAGCCTAACTTCCCCCTTCAATGCCAGAAACACATCCTACTTGATGATCCTGGTAATACATCAGACTTATATTCCCTTTCCCCTTTCTCCCATAAACAAGTATGATATAAGGCCAGGTGAACCTAGGCTCATTCAAGTCCCAGGTCCATCACATCTTAGCTGTATGACTTTAGACAAGGTACTTGGCTTTCTAAGGTTCAGTTCCTGTATGTGTAGAATGTCGATTTAAAAAAATCTAGGGCTGGAGAGATGGCTCAGTGGTCTAAAGCACCTACTTGGAACAAGCTCGGCAAAGCACATGGACCGCGGTTCGATCCCCCAGCACCACATGCCAGCCAGCCGCGCCCCCTGGTGGGCTGAGCTGGCCACACACACACACACACACACACACACACA